GGGATGGCATTGTCTCTTGTTCATTTGTTTTGGCCCCCTCGGCGCGCGTGCACGGCGCTCGCCTGCTCGCTCGCTCGATCGATCGTGCTCGAAGCGAAGCGCAGTGCTGTTTTTCTGACTTTGCGAAAGCTTCCGTAGTTCGACGCCAAAGCTGGCGCCATAATCTGCCTGGTCTATCTACGAAGGCATCTGCCGTGGTCGTTGGTGCTTTGTTGTTTTCTTCGGCTCGCACGTGCATTCTGCTGAAGCCCGTGCATGCCTTGGGGGTCGCTCTCCCCTTCCTTTCCATCCATGCCCCCTCACACCCCCCCTGGAGCCAGGTGACGTTTGCTCTTTGCCGTTTGCCGTTGGTGACATCAAGGTACCATGACCCCCCTCCCTTCGTTCTTTGGCTCGATGCGTAAACACTGCACAACATGATTGCTTCTTGCGATCAGGCAGTGGCAGCTATAGGCATCGACGGAACGTGGTTGTGCAAGTCATCCAGGTCCGAATTCGCCCTACGTATGTCCGTCCACCTTGCGGCCTACCTATCCAAACGTCATCAACTCTTCCATAGTACGTACAGTAGTGAAAAACAAAACAGCGCTGCGTCTAGAACAGCAAACAGCCCCTCCAGCCATACCCTCTCTTGATAGTCCTGTCCTCATTGTTCCTCTTTCAACCCCCCGCCCCCCCCCCCTCAAACCTCCTCATCGCTGTCGTCACCCAGAAGCTCGCCCTCGTCATCGTCAACAGATGCATAGTCCCCACGCCCCCGTGCAAAACTGTCTCTCGTAGTAAACCGCCTCTGCCCGCCGCCATTCAACCAGCTGCCGCCGCCGCCGCCGCTCACCCGCTCATACGCCGACGACGCCGTCCGCCAGAGCGCCGAGACGAGCAGCGGAAGGGCCGCCACGACGGCCACGGCCGCCGACACGGCAATGACGGGATACTTGACCCACGGCGCGTCATTGTCAAACCCGCTCGACTCGCCGAGGCGGATCTGCCCAAACTGGCTGCCGTAGTTGCGCCACACCCACCAGCCGACGGCGGCCGCGATGCCGATGGGTATGACGACGGCGAAGAAGATGGCAACGCCCGATGTGCCGCGTAGTTTTTCAAACTCTTCCTCCTTGCCCTTGCACGGGTGGGCCTCGGAGATCTTGTCAAGCTCCGTACCGCCGACACACGTTGTCAAAGGAATGCGGCGGTAGCCTGTCGGCTCGTAGTAGGACACGGCGTCCGGGTTCTCCTTGCAGTACTGCTCGGCGGACAGCGGCTTCTTGCCGGGCACGAGGCTGCACTGCTTATGGGGGTCGAGCTCAAAGTTGTAGTCACTGTGTTCGTGTTAGTATGGTGGAGCCCTCGCTAGTAGACTACATGTGTCATGTAACGTACCACTCATAGTCGGCCCTCGTGCAGGTGCAGTTGCTGATGGCATAGAGATGCTCGATGCGATGATCGTTGTAGCAGTTGCGGTCCGTCTTCTTGCGGAGGTACTTGGAGACGTGGCCGAACAGACACTCATTGTCCTGCAGAGGGTGCGTGGGCGACCAGAGGTAGTAATCTGAGTCACCGCTCTCAGGGTTCACACAGGGACGATCCGTCAAGCCAGTGAAGTCGAGATTGACGGACAAGGTCTTGCCATCGCTTGAACTGCACCACAGGAGAAAGTTGCGCGAGCTGCCAGTGCGAGTCGAGGTGATGTCGAGTATCGTGACCTCCTCTTTGCTGAATTCAAAGTCCTTCCAGTCCTTGCCCTCGTTGGTCGTGTACGAGATAGATTTGGTCTTGGCACCCTTGTCCTCGGTCGAACGCGGCACCAAGACGACAATGGAACCCTGATCGCCATATTGCCATGTCCAGGCGCCCTTCTTGACGCTCTTCCATGTGATGCCGGCGTCCGTCGTCATGAAGGTATCCGCCTCCTCAATCGGACCCAGGCTCGATCCAATGTTGCCGTAGCCAAACATGAGACCAGCCACACTGGCGGCCGAGAATGTCTTCTTCTTGTCGAGACGCTCAGTGTAGTGGTGGAGGTGAAGTGCGCACTTTTCGTCACCGTAAGTGCTGCTGCATCCGTATGCCTTGCCGTTGACGTCGGCTTTGGGCGGCGGGAGATATGCCCACTGCGATCCATCGTTGTGGGAGATCTCAGTGCGCAGGATTTTGTTGCCCTTCTTGTCCTTGCCCTTCACCGAGTTGATGAGCACGACACCTTCAAGCCCGATTATCTTCTCAAAATCGACAAAGTAATTGTTGTCGCAGTTGACGTTCGGAGCGCTCATGACATAGGACGTGCCGTTCGAGTTGCTCTTGAGAATACTGCCCTGGCGCTGGTTCTTCTCCAAATGAGTAGCCACAAACAGGTTTACCGCATGCGTAGAACTGTCAAGGACAGTGTATGCGTTCTGATGAGACACCTCAAAGTTGTAGGGGAAGTGAGCTGCAGCATACGTTTCACCATCAAGACTGGCCAGCGCTCGAAGTCCCTTCTGCTCTTTGTCCTCGGCTGCGACAACAATGAATTCGGCCATAGTCGCAAAGTCCTTGACGTTCGACTCGCGCACCTTCTTGTCTTCTTCGAAAAAGTCATTGCTCGACACGATGACTTTGGGGTTGTCGGGTTCATTGTCTTCACGCTTGTGGGTGAGACATACAATCTGTCGCATATCTCTGAACTTGTAGGTGGAGCGGCCGGTGAACTCGCACTTTTGAACGTAACGCAGCGCCGTCCGCCAGTTGTCGCCTCGGTCCCTGGAAATGGAAGCTTCCTTGAAGCACTGTTCTTTACCGTCCACCTTCTCGCACTTCTGGCCTACCCAGATGAGCCAGTCCTTCTGGTCAGGATGGAACGACAGGGGGTTTCCGGAGCCAGGGTCCGAAGGAGCCTCAAACTGGTGGAAGTGCTCGGCATGGTCGATCGTGTACCAAACTTTCCTCGACTTTGTGGTGAAGAAAACGGCGTTCTTGAAATATTGGTGAGGGTAGATGCCCCTGATTTCCTCCTTCTCCAAGATCTCGTCCCACTTCTTGCCGTGGTCTCGCGTGCGGTACACGCGCTGCTCAACCCTCATCGAACCATCATTCTCATACTCAACCGCCCTCGCAATGACGGTCTCGTCCGAGTCGGAGCTCGAGTCGCCGCGCTCAAGATAGACTATCTCAAAGTCGTTGAGCTTAGTATCTTGGAAAATGTGCTGCGTGGCAGTGATATCCCCACTTGCAGGTGGCGCCGGGGAATTGACAACGTCGGAGCATTTTCTGTCAACCGGGTCATCCTTCTGCGAGCCGTCCTTTCGTTTGCACGTGTTGCCGGGTATCAAGCGCCAGCCCGAAGATCCCTTGAAAGTGGTGTCAGGGCCAGCGTTTTTGCAAGCCTCATCGGGGGCAACTATCGGTCCAGCCTTCTCGCATTCGCCATCCTTTCGAATGAAGTTGTAGTCGCACTCAAAGTCCGCGTCGGAACACTCGCAGTCCTCAGTCTTGGGAACCGGGTCCTTGAACTCCTTCTTCAGGAAACAGTCGGCGTCCTTCTTGCGACGGCGATATGTCTGTTTGTGTCCCATGACGCAGATGGCCTTGCCATCCTTGTCCACCCTGGCTGGCCAGTCTTCCATGTCGCCGTCCTCGCAAGTCTTCTCCTGCAGGCCCCCGAAGTCGAGGGCTACAACATGGTAGTTGTCACCTCCAGAGGACCCGACAAGGATAAACTTTAGGCTAGTGGAGTCCTGGGTGGTTGTGATGATCTCAGGCTTGATCTTAAGGCCATCAGGAAGCGCCGCTGTCTTCCAGTTGAGACCGTGATCCAACGAGTAGCTAACCTCGCCGACGTCGTCCTTCTTAGAGTCCTTGACAGCTACTAGTAGCGAACCTTGGTCACCAAACTCGTACTTGTGAGGGCCGTCCAGAGCCTTCTTCCACGAGGCACCAGCGTCATCCGAGACGAACAGGTTCCCCTCTTTGAAAGCATTCAACGAGCTACCTGTGTTGCCAACACCCATGACGAGACCTGGTGCAGGGCTCGAGAAGACCCGACCGACATTGTCAAGGTGAGTTACTGAATGTAAGTGGACTCGATCGTCGCCAGCCTTGATATCGTGGAAAGTCCTGCCGTCATCAAACGTAATTTGAGTGACAACTTCTTTTTTGCTGCCGCCGTGCTTCTCAACGTCCTCCCAGTTCTTGACGGTGTTGACGAGGAATATGCCCTGGATGCCCGAGATCTTTTCAAAGTCGACATTGCCCATCTCGTTACGGTTCGTGTGCTCGAGGTTCTCGACAAAGTAGGTGCCATTAGAGTTGCTCGTGAACATAACACCCATGGGGTTTGAAGGACGGGTGTTCATGACATCAACCTGGATGCTGTAGTTGGTGCCCTCGAGGACAGTGTAGGCGCCCTGGTTGACCTTGTGGCCGTGCGCCGCTGGGAACATGGCGCGATGCCACTTGAGAGTGTCGTCGGTGACAAAGAGGGACAGTTCGTCTGTGTTGATCGATGTTGTGGCAACCAGCAAGTACTTCTTGACGACGGCCAGGTTGACGACTCCCTGAATGCCGTGATTCGTATCCAGGTTCGGCTCAAACTGTTGTACCTTGCCGTCGATCTTCTCGAAAAAGTTGTCCGAGATGAACAGTCGCTGGTCCTCCTTGAAAGGCGAAATCGAGTCGGCACCGATGCAGAGGACGCGCTGGCGGTCGAGATCGTCCTTGCCAGTGGTGAACAGGTCGGAGGACTTGGCCCACCAGCAGCCCTCGGTCGAGCCCCTGAGCGTCTTCGCCTCCTTGAAGTTGTTGGTCGTGTACGTGGCCACTTCGTTGCAGAATATGCCTGCACAATCCATGCCGTTGAAAATCACGCGATCGGGATCACCGGCGTGAAAGCTGAGGATCTGGTCTCGGTATCGGCTCGTCTGGGCGCCGCTGTCAAACTTCTCCCAGGACTTGCCACGGTCTGTGGTCTTGAAGTGTTCTCTGCGGTCGGTGATGATGAAGGCTCGGCTGTTGTCAAACTCGTGCATGGTCATGGTATACGCAACGCCGTCGGGAACGCCTGCAACTTTTCCCCAAGAGACTCCAGCATCGTCGGATCGGTAAATGTTGTTCTCGGACATGTCATGGAACAGAACCACGTCTGAGTCTTCGAAGTAGTTCATGTTCAGCGGCGGGTGCTTAAACTTGGACACCTTGATCGTAGGTCCGTCGTCCTTTGCCAATGCCGTCGTCGTCCATGACAGAACGAACAATAGAGTGCGCCATGAGGCTGCACCCCTGCCCCGAATCCTCATCTTGTCGCACTGGTTGGGAGGACGGTCGTGATCATCCAGAGGGGAAGTAGGGTCGGAGGGGAGCAATAGCGAATAGGTATGATGTCGCAAAGACTTGAGCAACAAACGGACCAGGTAGATTGGATGTGCCCGCGTTGGTAAATGGACAAGGTGGTGATGAAGTTGAAGCTACTGGGGTTTGGAAATTGGTACTGCTACCTGTTCTTGAGGCACGAAAGGGAAACGTCAGCATAACCCAGACCCTGCGTGTTTCGTAGCTCTCGCCCCCACTGAGTATTGGACAGCCGGGCCGTGAGTGGGCGCTCGCGCCAGACACTGGCTTGACTGGGGGCGGCCCCTTGAGCTTGAGCTCTGAGCCCTGCTGCCGCTAGCCATCAGCGCCACTGCATCCGCTAAGCTTCAGCTCTGAAGACTCCACTCCAGCTGTTCTTTGGGCGTCATATCAGCACGTGAAAGGATTCAGGCCCCGACTCTTCGTCTTCTCCACGTCGTCCGTTTCACTACTGATAGCCACGGGCGGTGATCCAATTCTCAGAGCAATAGAATTCACCACAGGCTACTCACCTCCTTGTCAAGATGTCGATCTGACGCGGATAGACTGAAAAATGATATGAGCATGTGAAACAGGATCTCCGGAGTATCAAATGTTTCCTTCTTGTATTGGCTGATCTATGTACGATTTCGGTTGGACTAACGATTGCATGATCTGGAACATGGAAACAACATAGAGTGTATTTTGGGAGTGCGGCCTCCACAGGCCTCAGCAGCACAGCTATCATAGCCGTCGCGCGCTGATACTGGCACAATGCTTGCATTTCAGCAAGCCCCGAACAGGAAGTTCTACTTAGATCTCATGAAGTGACAATCGACCGAATGAGCTCAACGGGTTGCCCTCATCTGCCTCCCAAATTTGTACGAAGACACTGACTTCATAAGCCCCCGCAGCATCGCGCTTGAGGATGCGCGGTATCACCTTATTGCCGCCACCTTCTGGGAGGCAAGCTCGTCGTGTCGATTCTTGTCAGAGACTGGCATGTGGCACATACAGCCCAGGCCTTGCATGACCCAGCATAACTTGGTATGGCCCGTGATGAGGCCTGCAGGCGTGAGAGGCTTCGGCCGACACGCGAAGCATGCGAAGCAAAACGTGTGCTGCCATGCTGTTTGACTCGATACTTTGGCGCCCGGGAACCAGAAAGTCAATCAGCCCTGGGCTTTCTCCTCGACTTTCTCTTCGGCCTTCTCCTCGGCCTTCTCCTCTGCTGGCAAGGCGCCAGTCTTAGGCTCGCCATCGGCATCGAAACCGAGTGCTTCCAGCTCCCGTATAAGCTCGTTGATCTTGATCACCTTGGCGATCTGCTCCGGCAGCAGTGCCTCGCCGCCCTCCTTCTTGGTCTGCAACTCATTTGCCTGTCGCAGCTTCTTCTTTAGTGCCCTCGCCTTCTTGGCACGTTCCACCTCAGGATCGACCTCCTCGACGACTTCCTTCGGCGGTTCCGCGTTCTTCTTCTCGGTCACGCCCTCTTCGCCGTCGTCGGCTTCGGCTTTGGCCTTCTTTCGTGCCTCGCGCCGCTTCGCATTCTTGGCGCTTGCGGCTGAGGCATCGGCCTTGTCATCGCTCAGACCGACGGTCCCCGGGACGCCGCGCGCGGCGCGAGCCTCGGCTGCCCGGCTCTTGTAGACCTCGACATCTTCGGTAGGGCGGAAACCGGGGCGGATCTTGATGGCCTTGCGGGTGCTGCCATCGGCACGCTGAGACTCGGGGATGAAGCGCTCGCCGCCCTTGTCGGTGATGATTCCGGCGTTGCTGGGCTGGCCCTTTTTCTTCTCGCCAGCCATTTTCGGTTATTCGGCTCGTAGAACAGGCTCGTATGTGTAAAACGAGAAAGTAGACTTGGAAAGTAGTCGCGTGTTTGGTCGCGCCGATATGTTGGTGGGGATGGTAATTACAGTCGTAGAATCAAAATGAACCGAAGTCTAGAGCGTTTGAATGAAATAAAGGATCGAGGCTGGATAGGGAAGTTCAGCTGGGCTTCCGCAGCTTGAAGCCGGGCGTCGCAGAGCGAATTCTCGTTCGTTTTTGGCGGTGCGGAGGTGAGGCTTCGCTGTGCGAGTCGCATTTCGCAGCTGTTGCGGAAAGGAAAATGCCCCGCAGAGGACCATGCACAGACCAGTGCGATTCCTCCCCGCTTTCCCGGCATCTTACATTTGGGTCTCGGATGGTCATGATCATGGCGTCTGAATTAATGCAGTTCTGGGTGCCTTTGATACAAATAGATGGGGAAATTACGTGTACTACTGAAAGTGCAAAGAAGTGTTTCCAACATGGTGATCATGCCGGTCTGCTGCACTGTAACCTTCAATCAGGCAAGCTGGACAGTGTGGCTTGTGTGACAGACTTGGTGAGTGTATGCCATCAACATACCTATACAAGGCACAAAACTACCTTACTTAACCAGCGACTTGGAAGTAAGCTAAAAGCCGAGTGAGTTCCCATATTTTACGTATGGGGTGATGGCACCGTACGAGCAGATAGGCCTGCAACCGTTTGAGTGCTTGAAACCAAGAAACACGAAAGCTATGGATGAGAAAACACCTGCTCGAAACGAAATAGACATATCTGGCTCGTAAGACAACGTGAAAACGACAAGTCCATTCAGCAAGGTCTAGGTCGAGGCCAATACAGTCGCTGTTCGTGGGGTTCGCCAGTACTCCCACATTGAAGAGTGGATACCACCGGCCGACCAATGACAGCCCACCCAATTGGTCCCGGCAAGATTTCGGATCATCACGAATTTCGTCAGGAACGTTCACTTGGACCTCAGCTCACCCTTCAGCACCTGAACCGACCGCATCGCCGACACGTCCGACCCCCGACTACTCAGCCCGACACCCAATCGAACGCGCTTCGCCGCTCAACACTTTCAAAATGGTAGGCTTCAGGCACCGTTGCGACTCGTCCCCGTCTCTCAATTGCCAATCGGCTAATCGCGCATCCTTAACTACAGGCCGGCCTCACCAAGTCTCTCTACACGCAAGTCTAGCCCTACCCCTGAATTTTCGACGAGCAGCGACACGAGGGATGGATCCACAGAGGCAATTGGGTGGATGAAGAAAGAGCCTGGGAATCAGAGAGTGAACGGGATGGAAGATACCCGACACGACTGAGCTGGGAGGGCTTGCTACATCGACAAATTCACGGGCACAATTGTACGGGATGCTGACTGGATTTCTCGGCAGTGCGCTCTTCAAGCAGAACTTCGCCATGCTCGGCTTCGTCTTCGGTGCCGGCTTTGCCTTCGAGATGTAGGCACAACCCCTCTACCTAGCCATCTGGCACGCCTGACGGCAGTTCACAACGACTGACATTGTGTAGGGGCTTCAACTCGCTCACCAACAAGTACTGGGACCACCTCAACCGCGGCGTAAGATATCTCGAATCGACACACAAGTTACGTGTTTGCTAACCAACCGCAGCGTCAATGGAAGGACATCCGTGGGCGCTATGCTGAGGCCGCCGAGGATGACGAAGAGTAAAGGATTCCCAGGATGAACGATTGGACGCCCAGAGGAGACCTGACCATGAGATACGGGGACTACCTATGGACTGGCTGGAGGAAGTGTACCGATAAGGAGGGGTGTAGAACATAGAGCACGTTGCTGCATATCCATTCGGTTTCTTGCGCTTATTGCGTGGTTGACATGATTGCTGTGTTGCATCTAATGAGTGTTGAATCCACTATCACCAGGCAATCCTGGCGTCGTCCGCATAGTCAGTGATATGACCTCCAAACGTGCAAGCGATGTCCCAAGCGGGTATCCTAGTAACCCTTGTTCGGCATTCGTTCACGTGGACGGCATGAGTTGGCGTACGTTGTTTAAACTGGCGTAAGACTACAGCAAGCATCACTCGCATTCAAAGGCGAGGATGCGATTGAGTATCCGCACTACAATGACGCTTAGTCTGCCAGATGTCATTCGGCGCGAGACCCCAGCTTACGGCAGAGCAATAGCCTCAATCTCGACGTCAACGTTCTTGGGAAGCGTCTTGACGGCAACGCAGCTGCGGGCAGGCTTGTGGGAGAACCACTTCTCGTACTCGCTGTTCATTTCCTGGGTCGGTCAGTCATGGTATCCGGGCAGTCGAACTTTCGTGTTGGGCTGTAAGGCTACATACAGCGAAGTTGTCCATGTCAGCAAGGAAGATGTTGACCTTGACGATCTTCTCGACGGACGAGCCAGCCTCCTCAACAATGGCCTTGAGGTTGAGGATGCACTGTCTCGTCTTCTCGGCGATGGTGCCCTCGACAAACTTGCCGTCAGCGGTCAAAGGGATAGAGCCGGACAGGTAGATGGCCGTGGGGGTCTTGACGGCCTGGGACTGCAAAGCGTAATCAATATCAGGCACAGTGGTCATGGTAGCATGTATCGGAGCATACGTAAGGGCCCAGTGCTGTCAGGAGGTCAGCTCAGCTATTCACCGGTCATGAAGTGGGCAATGGGCGTACGGAAGGGGGCGTCCTTCGTGTAGACATTAACGGCGCCAGACATTGTGCTGTTCTGGCGTGAGATTCCTTGACGATTGGCAACGAGTTGTAGGCGAGGCGTGAGGCTTCGAAGTGCTCGAGGCGTAGTATGGGTGAGAAGTGATCTGGTGAGGAATGAGGACATGGAGAAGATCAATTCGGGGTGAGGGGTCGTTTGCAATGGCGTCGCTAATAAGAACGTATAACGGGGAGTAGAATGTCAGATGTGGATGATCCAATAGGTTGAGTGACCGGGAGGACAACCCCGCCGGGAGCCTCCGTTCATCGGCGGGCGGATACCCACGGCCCCAGGGGAATGACTCTCACGCGCAGCCTCACCGAAGAGCGCGATGCCTACACCGAATGTGGTTCACCGACCCCCGATTCAAACAATAGATCGAGGCTCAACATAATCTTGAGTTCCAACCCGGTCTTGGCACCAGCTATTACAGCACTGGTTTCTATTCTTTACACACAATCAATTTCAATTTCATGACCTGTAAGAAGAGGTGGCATTCTAGCATTGTCCCAACTGCCGTTCAGGCGTGTCCCTGTCGGCTTATCGCATCCCTTATCGAAAGTCCCGTGACCCTTCGGCAGCCCACTGAGCTCAGCGAGGGAGGACCCCCTTGGCGCATCCTCCTGGTGGGTATCCCTGTTGAGATCCCCTGAAGCCAGTAGCAGGCCCGCGACGGGGCTAGACCAGCAAAGGACAAATCTTACACTCGGGTTCTCGACCAGCTAGAGGGTGCATCGAGGACCATCTCGAGCTCGTTGAGTCTGTTAACACTTTTCTCCTCTTGTTCACACTTCTGTGTGATTTTCCAGTCTTTCCTTTCGTATCGACGGAACGATCGCCATCATTCGACGGTGACGTTGGTCGGCACGGTTCCACTTTACCAGTGTAGCCAAGCGCATCCATACAGTACGTCTACCCATTCCAGCCCTTTGAATCTCCCCTGAATTGGTGGGCTCGTGAAGCTATCTGTCCTTTGACAAGCTGGACCCGAGGCGTTCGCGTTTACTCCAGCAGAGACAGGAGACTTTGTCCATCGCTGCTGCATCACCTTCCATTCTGCAGCTGGACTGACACTGCTGCAGCTTCTTTCTTCTCTTTCTCTTTTTCTTCTCCATTCACCATGGCGTCGACGACTGCCATCCCGCAGGGCAGCGTCCGTCAGCGCAACACGGCTTCGAAGAAGTCGCCTGTGGCCTCGGATAGCGAGCCCGAGGTCAAGGTCAAGGCCAAGGCCAAGGCCAAGTCTGTTGCGCGCTCCCTCAAGAAGCCCTCAGAGACCGAGTATAGTGTTGGGCTTGCCATCACCACCCTTTTGGCATTCGTCACCAGATTCTGGGGCATCAGCCACCCGAACGAGGTTGTCTTCGACGAGGTCCACTTCGGCAAGGTATGTTGGCGTGCCCTTCCGACCCTTGCGTAGTTTTCGTGTCGATGAGCATTCTCTGACCAAAGCCCTGGTGAACAGTTTGCCTCTTACTACCTCGAGCGTACCTACTTCTTCGACGTGCACCCTCCCTTCGGAAAGCTCCTGTTCGCCTTTATGGGATGGCTTGTGGGATACGATGGTCACTTCCACTTCGACAACATTGGTGACTCATACATCACCAACAAGATTCCCTACGTTGCCTTCCGAGCCCTCCCCGCTATCCTCGGCGCTCTCACTGTTACTGTGACCTACCTCATCATGTGGGAGTCTGGCTACAGCCTTCCTGCCTGTCTGCTCGCCGCCGGCCTTGTCCTTCTTGACAACGCGCACATCGGTCAGACCCGTCTCATTCTGCTCGACGCCACTCTTGTCTTCGCCATGGCATGCAGCTTGCTCTGCTACATCAAATTCCACAAGCTGCGCCACGACCCCTTCTCCCGCAAGTGGTGGAAGTGGCTTATCCTTACGGGCTTCGCGCTCTCGGCCGACATCTCGGTCAAGTACGTGGGTCTCTTCGCCTTTGTCACCATCGGCTCGGCGGTCGCCATTGACCTGTGGGAGCTTCTCGACGTCAAGAGGCCCGGCGGTGCGCTGAGCCTGCCCGACTTCGCCAAGCACTTCCTCGCCCGTGCCTTTGGCCTCATCATCATGCCCTTCCTCTTCTACCTCTTCTGGTTCCAGGTCCACTTTGCCATCCTCAACCGATCCGGCCCCGGTGACGACTTCATGTCGCCCGAGTTCCAGGAAACCCTCAGCGACAATGTCATGCTTGCCAACTCGCTGGAAATCAACTACTACGACTCGCTCACCATCCGCCACAAGGAGACAAAGACGTACCTGCACAGCCACCCTGACCGCTATCCTCTCAGGTACGACGACGGTCGTGTGTCGAGCCAGGGCCAGCAGATTACAGGCTACCCCTTCAACGACACGAACAACTACTGGCAGATCCTCCCCTTGGAGGGAGAGGAGACCACTGGCCGTGTCGTCAGGAACCACGACCTCGTCCGTCTGAGGCACACAGTGACCGACATGATCCTGCTCTCGCACGATGTCGCGTCTCCCTCGTACCCCACCAACCAGGAGTTCACCGCCGTCAGCATCGAGGAGGCCCTCGGTGCCCGCGCCAAGGACACGGTCTTTGAGATCCGCATCGAGCACGGCAAGAAGAAGCAGTCGTTCAAGAGCGTGTCGGGCCACTTCAAGCTGATCCACAACCCGAGCAAGGTAGCCATGTGGACACACTCGAAGCCGCTGCCAGACTGGGGCCACAAGCAGCAGGAGATCAACGGCAACAAGCAGCTCACGGCGGCGTCCAACGTGTGGTTCGTCGAGGACATCCCGTCGCTCCCCGAAGACGATGTGCGCCGTGCCAAGCCCGAGAAGAAGGTCAAGACGATGCCATTCCTCAAGAAGTGGTTCGAGCTGCAGCGCGCCATGTTCTGGCACAACAACCAGCTGACCAGCAGCCACCCGTACTCGAGCCACCCGTACCAGTGGCCCTTCCTACTCCGCGGCGTGAGCTTCTGGACCAAGAACGACACGCGCCAGCAGATCTACTTCCTGGGCAACCCAGTGGGCTGGTGGATCGCCAGCAGTCTCCTCGCTGTGTTTGTCGGCATCATTGGCGCCGACCAGGTGTCTCTGCGCCGTGGCATCGACGCTCTGGACCGCCGTGAGTGACATACCTTCCGTCCCATGACATGAACGTCGTACTGACTCGATCTCTAGGCTCCCGCAACCGTCTCTACAACTCGACGGGCTTCTTCTTCCTCGCCTGGGCGACGCACTACTTCCCCTTCTACCTCATGGGCCGCCAGCTGTTCCTCCACCACTACCTGCCGGCACACCTGGCGTCGTGTCTCGTGGCCGGTGCCCTCCTCGAGTTCATCTTCCTGGCGGAGCCCGTTGGCGAGGACAAGAAGGCGAAGAAGGTCGAGGACGCGCCGAAGCGACACCTCACGGCGCGTGAGCGTCTCGGCGGACAGAGCATGGCGGGCGCGTGGATCGCGGCCACCGTGGTGCTCGCCCTCGCCGTCGCGGGCTGGTGGTTCTTCCTGCCCCTGACCTACGGCTACCCCGGCCTGTCGGTCGACCAGGTGGTGCGGCGCAAGTGGCTCGGCTACGACCTGCACTTTGCCAAATAAAGGGCAATTGTATCGTCACTCGAGGCCGACGCTATAGCGTCGGGGGGTGGTCCGGAAGCAAGCCCTATGTTGATGAAGCTGTTTTCATGGATCGCGCCCGAAGCCAGGCAGTACACGCGCGGTGCGCAACAACTGTGTGCATCGCGAGGTGCCTCAGAGAAGGGCTGGCTGGGTATTGTGCAGCCATAGATGGGTGAACGAGTGGAATAGATCGCCCTCATGGCCTCGCTATCTGGAGGGGGCCTTTTTCTCATGTAAGACTAGCTTAAAAAAAGATGATGAACTTTGACGAATGGTGGATTCAATGAGTTAGCCGTATTAGCATTTGTGATGGCATCTGCATGTGTTTCGCGCGCTGTGAAGGTTGATAGGCCAGTAGTGGGGGCATGCGGCAGTGCAAGGGGCATTAATGTTTTGGGTTCGATCGAGGGCGACCTTGAGCGTTTCTAGTGCCCGGGGCCGCACCTGGTACCCGCCCCTACCTACCTACCTACATAGAAGGTACCTACCTAGGTAACTCAGGTATGCCTACCTGGGTACCTAGGTACCTGGGTACCTAGGTATCTTTGTACTAGGTACGTACCGTAAACGTAAAGGTGCCTTGCAGATGCAGGTGTCTTGGCAGGTGTCTTGGCTGTATCCCTTGGACCCCACCAAAGCGAAGGCAGCTTCCACCTGTGGCCAAGAGGACGAGGACAAGGCGGCGCTCAGCCTCCTCAACCTTGAACCTATGGAAATTGTGTCACCATCTCCAGTGTCCGCATTACCTCACGCGTGCACATTGGGTCCAGCCGCCATCCCCTCCTACAGAGCGCGCCAACACGCAAGGTCACGGATTATGCCAACTCGGAGAGTCTCTTCTGAACTCGACGATTTCGATCCCTTGTAGAGGCCTACTGACTCTGGAAACCTGGACGCCTCTACTGGCTAGAAGCTGTCGACACATTCACAAGCTGCCCACGTCTCCTGCCAAGAGAGCAGCTCAACGCTCGGCAATCGAACGGTGGAGGAGGAAACCACACCCTCGGTTCGCCCATCTCACTCTCGTGGTCAATCTCTACAACCATCTTCCCTCTCCAGAACCGACCCAGACTCTGCTGGGGCTGCTGGCCTTTACTTGATTCTGCCATCCGGCACAGTACTCTGGCCATTGGCCTCAACCACCACCCACCATGGGCACCCGCCTCGCCGCCCGCCGCCTCCTCCGAAGCAATTCTGTCCGCCTGGGCCTCCTCCTCTTCGCCCTCGTCACCTTCTTCGATACGCTGCGCCTCCAGAACCGCATAGCCCGCCATGACCTCGTTCCGCACGCGTTCGACACCCCCCGCAAGCACGAACGTGTCTACATAGCCGCTCTGCACTACAACGACGCTCCCCTGCTTCGGCAGCAGTGGAATCCCGCACTTCTTGCCCTCGTCGAACGCCTCGGTCGCGCCAACGTCTTCGTCAACGTTCATGAGAGCGGCAGCTGGGATGACACCAAGGCCGCCCTCGCCGAGCTCGACGCCGAGCTTGAGGTCCGCGGCGTGCCCAGAAGCGTCGTCACAAGCAACGTCACGCACCAGGACGAGCTCGAGGCCAACAGGCCCGCTCAGGGGGTGGCCCTGCCCGAGGGTTGGATTGTGCCGTCCAAGGGAGCCAAGCCAGAGATGAGACGGATACCTTTCCTGGCCAACTTGAGAAACTCGGCGCTGCGGGACCTCGGCGACCTCCACGAGAAGGGGGTCAAATTCGATAAGGTGCTGTTTCTGAACGACGTCTTGTTTACGGTCAGTTGACATGTTCTCGCCCAAAGAAAGAAGGCCAAAAAAGAAGGCCAAAAAAGAAGGCCAAGACAAGAAGTGTACTGACTGGAGCAGCCCGAAGACGCATTGACTCTGCTCGACACGAACCGCGGCGTCTACGCGGCCGCATGCTCGCTCGACTTTTCCGACCCCCCTTTGTTCTACGATACCTTTGCGCTGCGAGACGCCAACGGGAACGCCCACCTCACGCCGACGTGGCCATACTTCCGAGCGACGGCAAGCCGCAATGCGGTTCTGGCGCACGCCGACGCCGTGCCTGTGACGAGCTGCTGGAACGGCATCGTCGCCATGCCGGCGGCGCCCTTCACCTCCCCCCTCGAGTCCAAACGCCTGCGGTTCCGCGCCATTCCCGACTCCCTGGCGCAACTGCACCTCGAGGCTTCAGAGTGCTGCCTCATCCACGCCGACAATCCCCTTTCGGCGGACCTAGGCGTCTACCTGAACCCGAGGGTTCGGGTGGGCTACAACGTGATGGCGTACGCCGCTACGCACCCTGCACCAGGCCGCAGCTGGCTCAGCGGCTGGGCAATCGGCCGCGGCCGGACCGTGAACCGCTTGTTGGGCTGGTTCACAACCACGCGGTTCACAGACCGGCGGGTCGACGATAGGTTGGCGCGGTGGAAGGCCGAGGGTAAGGACCGTCACGAGCCTGGACGCGCGTGTTTGATTAACGAGGCTCATTTTCTGGCGCCGAATGGTTGGATGCATTTGTAACGGCTGGCGCTCACGGTCTTCTGTCATGCCTTTTGGGATAGATATTTCTTGATTTCTTTTTTTTCCCTTGTTTTTTGTAGATTAGATGGATGAAGGTGGAGAGAATGATACCCAGCGTGATGCTTTCTGCCGTCTTAACATGAGTTATCGTCTTGGTTTGGCGTTCTCTTGCTCACCCCTATATACCTTGAGACACAATTCGGTCCCAAAGTTTGCACTTGATATCATACGACCCTCCCGCCGAGCATCCTCTACTGACCAACGACTTGTACAACCTTACCTTCTTCCTCCACTCGCGCACCTCGGCTCTCCTCGTCTACGCATGCTTCGCCTTCCGAATGCCCATCAACTCCAGAACCGCCCCCCTGCATGCCCACTCGCCCCCCTCGCCCCGCGTCACCCTTCCCTCCTCGACAAGCTCGACAAACTCCTCGGCCCTACCAGCACGGATCACGTCCCTAAGGTCCCGCGCACGCCGCCACCTCGTCCAGCCCGACAACCCGCTCCAGCCGCACGAGCAGACTGTCGTCCAGCCGGTCCCGCCGCCCGCATCGCCGCCCGCGACGTCTTGAGCAGTTCACCCAAGCATTGTATGAAGGCCCGGCCGGCCTTCTCCATTGTCTCGCGCGGTCAATGGCTTCCGGAATCTGTCCGACCACGAGGCCGATGATTCCGCCTTCCCAAGTCAG